GATGTTGCCAGTTGAAGTACGGCACAGTAGAAACCAGTACTTTATTTTAATGTTTTATTTTAAAAAGTGAGTTGCAGCCTTCCAAAATTTTTTTTAACAGTGTTAAATGGCTCCACATTCTAATAGTTGTCATTGCTGTTGAGGATGGATTATATTTAGAATCTTATTGAATTTGATCATGAATCCTTTGTGAGTTTTTATCATAATGTTTACTGAATAATGTAAGATGGAGACCCAAAATACTGAATCTACCCTCTGTAGCAATGACCACTATCAGAATATGGAACTATTAACACTTAATGTACTTTAAAACACATTTAGTTTTTTTTTCTTTTAATTGATGACAAGCACTTTGTTTTGACTGAGCTCCTTCGATTCGTAACTTTTAAAAATCACATTGTGTTGAATAAAAAAAGTTGTTAAATTGTCACTGTGGTGTCACTTTAATGTTTTCTAACATTATTAGCTGGTTATAATTGTGAAGTGGGCTGACATGAGTATTTCAGTTTAGAATTATTTTGAGTGGATGTCCCACATTATGAGTGTATTACTCCCTAATGTAAGTTGAGGAATATCAATATTTATAAGATAACATTGAGATAATTTATGGCAACTGTAAATGTGATTTTTATTTTATGTAAACTTAAAACATTTAAAAACATCACTAAAATATTGTTGTGTAATCTGTTACAAAATCATTTTGGAGTTGTGTGAACTTATTAGGGTTTACAGTGTAGAATACAAAACACACAAAATTACTTAAATATGTTATCAACATTTTTAGTGATTTGTAATTTATTTCAACAATGAGTATGTTTGACTATGAACAATGTTAAGATATAAAATTAAAATATAATTATAGTTTTAGTGTTCATGTGTTATCATACTCCATGGATTTCACTTATCAATGAATTGAAATCATACTTCGAGAGAGGTTACCACTGAAGTGCAGCAGACTGTTTCACACCCTGTTTTCATGAAAGCATTAAAAATATGACTTTTTAAATACTGAACATTTTGTGTTAAAACGTTCAAAGCTAATCATTATTAAGTATGTTTTTAGTGAAACCTCTGTTGTTTTAGTGTCAGTGCAGCTGTTGAGTCAGATCAGTTCCTCTCCAGCTGAGGGAGGTTTTTGTACGACGTTGTATCACTGTGTGAACGAGCTGGAACTCTGCTGACAGTAGTAAACTCCTGAATCTTCAGCCTGAACTCCACTGATGGTCAGAGTGTAGTCAGAACCAGATCCACTTCCACTAAAACGACTTGAAACTCCAGACTGACGGTTTGAAGCTAAATAAATCAGGAGTTTAGGAGCTTCTCCAGGTTTCTGAAGGTACCAGTGGAGGTTGCTACCAACACTTGAACTGGTTTTACATCTGATAGAGACAGTCTGTCCTGGAACAACAGACTGAGATCCAGGAGACTGAGTCAGGGTGTTTTGTCCTGATGAACCTGAAAACATGAAACAGAGGAGAAGGGTTATTGAGACAAATCCAGCTTGGAGAAAGATGATCAACATCCAAACAGAAGAGTATCATTTCTTTAACATGGAGAATAGATGGAAGAAGGTAAATGCTGCTTGTTTCACTGTTTCTCCATCATAGCAGAACATCATTGTGGTGAACCTGGTTGCATCCTGAAGCAAAGTTTTCAGAAGAGAGTCTCACCCTGAACAAGGAGCCCCAGGGTGGCCAGCAGTAGAGTCAGTGACATCATCATTGTGCTGCCGGCGTGTCAGTGGCTCTGAAAGGCCTGGACAGCCACTGATCAACACTGGCCTCTTAAAGGCTGGGAGCAGAGAGGAAGGACACATATGCAAACACACAGAGTCAGTGAACTGTAGCTGTTCTCAACATATCATGCTGTTTCCTCCTCACTGCTGGGAGTACTGACTGTTTAAATCATCCTCATGCTGATTCACAGAAACTCACAATGCTGTATAATAATTTCATACTAATCTAAAACTAAATTAAACAGTTTATTTTTTATTTACTTAAATACAGAAAGAGAAAGACATGGTGCTCATACAGGTAACTGAAATTGAAAACTAAGCAACTAACTTCATTTTACAGAAAGTTACTTTCAACATTTTTACTCATCACTGACAACACTGGACCAAACATTATTAAGGACATAAAAACGTAAAATATATCAAATGTGGATTATAAGAAACTATCAATTATATAACTTAAGAATTTAAGAGTTGTCATTAGAAGTGTAAATTACAGTATGCTGTACATCTACATCTACTCCAGAAATATGTTGCTCTCTCTGTCACAGTGTTAAACTGGTTCAGTCCCTAACTGTCAGGAAGAGATGATGTAGTCTCACTTGGTTAACAGTCATCTGCTACTATCAACTATAATCCCACAAGGCTTCATCCTAGGTCCTCTTTTGTTCAGACTTTACATGCTGCTATTGTTTGATACTGCAATCTATGGTCTATTTAAATCACTCTATATCTTTTCAAAATATGCAGAATCAGTTAACATGTATATCTCCAAGTGCTCCCAAAATCCAGACAGACATTCTTAGATATTAGATATCACATTTTCTGAATGGTGTCCAGAATGTGTGCGTCCACAGTGAAATATCTTACTGTAGTAAGATGGAAAGTAGAATTTCATACTGTACGCACAACATTTACTACTACTGACAGTAATTGATTAAAAATCTCCAAAATATTTGACAAAACATTTACACCACCATACAATGTGCTCCCTCAACCACATATCACTCCTGTTGTCCAAAGCCTCCACTGTGTCATTGTCCCACAACAGATCCAATTTAAAGTCCTTCTCCTCACTCACAAAGCCCTCTATAACCAGGCCCCCTCCTACCTCACTGACCTGCTCCACTGCCGCACTCTGTCACAAAGCCTCCGCTCTTCTGATGCCAACCTCCTGTCTCCACCACCCAGGACCAAGCATCCAAACCAAGCCTTCTCCATAGCTGCACCCCAACTCAATCCTCAAACACATCAGAGACTGTACAGATTCATCCACATTAAAATCACTAATCAAAACCAGCCTTTTCAGAATTGCTTCAATGTGTGATTGTATTTTTTTGCTGGTTGTTTGATGATCTTTTTAACCTATGTATTTTAACTTATGTGAAGTGTCTTTGAGTACATGACAATATATATATGTATATATAAATAAAATATCATTATTATTATCATAATGTTGTCATTATTGTAAGAACTTATCATCTCTGTACTAAATATCAAAAATCAGTTCTCTGACAACCTTAATGTACTACATATCCAAACATTGCTTCATATAATCTATTCTGTCCCAAAAACAATCAGCATTGTTTGGTTACAAACATTTTTGATACTTGTAAAGATAGTTAAAGTAGTGCTTCAAAACCACCTTAGCTGTCTTAAAGTTCAAAAACCTTTGCAGACTACTTATGACAAAATACTGTCCTTCAGTTTGTTCAGGATCATAAAAACTGTCTGAGGTTTGTGGATCAGTGTCTGAAGAATGTCTGTTTAAAGTTCAGAGGTTGAAATTAATGAACGTCTCTTCTTTTGTGGACTACAGATGCAACTGCATTGATCTATGTCTGATCACATATTTTATGTTTTCAATATGTGAGTTTGTAATTTTCTTCCAGCTTTATGATCTTGATCTCTCTCTTGGGTCAGTTTTTCCAGATGGAGGTCAGGGTGATGTTTGCTGGAGAACAGGGGAACCAGGCTTCATCTTAAAAAACCTATATACATTTTACTGATCCACCTGTTGGTTCTATGGAAATTAATATTTGTTGAGTGGACAATGATAGACATGAGTGATTTTAAATTCTGCAAAATATGAGGGCAGATATGTTGCGCTGTGAACATGTCTGGGTTGCTTCAGTGAACTGTATCAGTCTCTGCAGTAGCTTCCAGCTGCAGCAGTCAGTTCAGTTTCTGTTCAGTCTGACTGAGGGAGGTTTTTGTACGACACTTTTTCACTGTGTGAACACATCCTGACTGTTGATATAATGAAAACTCTGACAGTAGTAGACTGCTGTATCTTCAGCCTGGACTCCACTGATGGTCAGAGTGAAGTCTGTCCCTGATCCACTGCCTGAAAAACGTCCTGGAATCCCTGACATTCTCTCATTGGTGTAGCGAATTAGCAGTTTAGGAGTTTCTCCATCTTTCTGTTGGTACCAGGCAAAACAGTATGCACTGCTACAACTCCAAACCTCCTGACTGCTCCTACAGCTGATGGAGACGGAGCCTCCCACAGCAGAGCTCACTGCTCCAGGCTGAGTCACTGTGACCTGGCCTCTGGACTCTGAGGATACAGAGACAAAAACATAAAGCAGCGTCATGGTTCTGTGGGCTTCATTTCAGAGGGACGGATGTTCATAGAGGAGAGGAGTTTGATTCTCTGGACTTTACCTGTGAAGCAGCAGCAGAGGAGAGTCCAGATGAGGACGGAGATCAAAGTCATGTTTTTGATGAGGAGGATTTCTGTGTCTTCTGTTGTCATGAAGGACAGCTGTCAGTCATCCAGTGTTCAACTCTCAGGACTATAAACTCTCCCAGAGCACTGGAGCATGGTGCTGCTGATGCAAAGTGGCTCTCTATGGAAATGCTCTGACTGACTCCAACAGGGACTTGGATTACTCTGATGATGCTGTTTCTCAATGGATCAATGACTTTATCAGAGTATTGATTAACAATGTATCAGTGATCATTTTAATGTGGAATGGGCTTGATGACTGCACAATGATTTTCTTTCAGAACGTCTTCTGTCTGCTTTAATTTAATGCTAGAGAGATCAATGTTACTTTCAGACATATGGAACAATAAATATGTAAAAATGTGATTCATTCTGAACAATTGTGGCACTGTTTGATAAATAGAACATGAAATAGTTCATTCTTTTAAAAACAGGAACTGTTGATGTTGACTTTGTTGTGTTCAAAGTCAGAGAGCCGTGTCTCTCTACAGTGAGAGGTTTTTGTACGACGACTCAATCAGTTTGTATCACTGTGGTACACGTTCGGTGGAGGAACCAGACTGGAGATTGGAAGTAAGTTCAAGTTTTGATGTATTTTATAAATTCATGAGCAACATTTTCTTTTCTGCAGGTACACTTTTGTCCAGCCATTGAAATATCAAATGTTTGATTCTATTTTTCTCCATTAGTTTTGTACAAAGAAGGTAAACTGTTACCAATTAAATTGTTAAATTATCAATGTCATTACTACAATTCCTCGGTGAAGAGCAGAAGTCATTTATTTCAGTTATAAGATTGAAGTGAAAAGTTGAGTACTTGCAGTTTAAGCTTTGTCAGACAAAGTCAGAGAGCCGTGTCTCTCTACAGTGAGAGGTTTTTGTACGACGACTCAATCAGTTTGTATCACTGTGGTTGACTTTTGGTGGAGGAACCAGACTGGAGGTTGGAAGTAAGTTTCTGCTCAAATATTAAATATCATATCATCAGTTAATGTTTTAATTTCTGTGTTTGAACATTTGTAGTAGATATAAATTTCCACTGGGCTGATCTAAATCACTTTAAAGACTAAATTTTATTGTTGGTTTAACCTTAAAGTTGAACTCAAAGCAGCTTTACTGAACTGTTCTTTAAATGTTCCAGTTAATTAGTGAAATGTGAACAGCTTGAACTGCAGGAAAGATTAAAGAACAACACTCGTACTGTACAAAGGTTTTTAAAATTCTGTCATTGATTCTGCATTTTCAACTGCAGTTAAAATAACATTTAATAGTGTGAATGATAAATGTTAGGAATGATTCCAAATGTCTGATCTTCTAAAATGGCACAAATTGTGTTTTAACCTCAGTTAGAAATAACGCTGACACTTTTCTGAAGCTTTTTGTGTTTTTCAGTCCGTCTGTTTAACAATTCAACTGTGGTTGTCAATTAGATTTTGTTGATTATTGATATTCAAAGTCTATTTTTATGGGTTTTTTTCAAATAGTCTAAAATAAAATCCCACCAAAGACACGTTTTAAATGTTGATATTTATAATGTGCTTCTGTTATTTGCAGTGTAGTTTGATATATTTCAGGTCATATGAGGACTGTGTCTGTGCTGATGTGCATGAGAGGTTTCTTAAAGGGAAGTGAAACAATGTGTGAGTGAGTGACTGCTGGAGCAGAAAAACCATCTGACAGAAACTCCTTAAAGGAGAAAATCAACTCTCACACAGTAAAGGTGTCCAAGTGGCTGCTGGTTGATTGACAGCTGTGTGGTCCCTGTCCTCTAATCTGATCCGTGTCTCCTAGGTGATGTCCGTCCCACCCTGACGGTGCTGCCCCCTCCAGTGAGGAGCTGCAAAAGGGGAAGGCCACGCTCATGTGCCTGGCCAACAAGGGCTTCCCCTCAGACTGGAGTCTGTCCTGGAAGGTGGACGGCAGCAGCAGCAGCAGCAGCTGGGAGCAGAGCAGGAGCCCCGGGGTGCTGAAGGACGGCCACTACAGCTGGAGCAGCACCCTGAGGCTCTCTGCAGACCAGTGGAGGAAGGTGGGCTCTGTGACCTGTGAGGCCACCCAGGGCTCCCAGACTCCGCTCTCAGAGACACTGAGGAGAGACCAGTGTTCCCAGTCCTGACCTGACTCACTGGGACTCTGCTACTGGTTTTACTCTGCTACTGCTCTCACTGTGCACTCTGTAACTATCTCTCTCTTTCATTTGACATGTTTCAGTCAGAATATTTACTAGCTTGTTGCAGTGTTTCAATATTATTTCACTGTTTCCAGATAATAAAGACGTGTTCATCAAATCAGTTGTTTTCATCTTTTGCTCTTGTTGGGCCCATGCGCCATCCTAGTGGTTGTCTTATCAGCCCAATTATCCTGCCTTTGTTTTGCTCACGCTCCATCCTACTGGTGTCTTACTTGCCTGCCCCGTCAGGCCTATGTTCTTATCACAGAACCCACAGGCTTCATGGCCTACACTAGTAGGCCATGACATTTTCTTTTGGCTCTCCTTTCATCATGATTACACCATTAGAATCTAGTTTGCTGTACTTCTATTTTTTAAAAACCATTTATTACCTTTTCCTTACACCATTATGTCACAGATGTCTTTTACTGTATTTTTTAAAAACTTTATAAACTTTATAATATGATAAGAAACTTGTGTTACAACCACACACATACATTTGGTATAATCAGTGCTCATTTCTAGTTATGATAAGAAAACTTGTGTTCCAACCACACATTCTATATGTTCCACACATTAAATCAAAACTTTACTAAATAATCATGGTGCTTACTACTGATAAGAAAACTTGTATTTGTGCTTATCATGAAATTATATAAACTTGAAACACATGCCTTCATTAACATCCTTGTGAGCTTATACCAATCTATTCTACTTAACACTCAAAATCATCATTACTTAAAACATAGTGCTCTCTACTTGATTTCCAGTTATCTGTGTGAACAAACCATAGTGCATTAGAAAACTTTTGTGTGATTATTGTGTGATGAATTGATTACTAACTTATAATATGCACTAACCTACACTAAATTTTATACTACACATCTTTATTATGATCAAAGTGTCTTAATGATTTTCTCTTCATGGTGTCAGTGACTGGATTAAATCCAGAGAAAAACTGAGCTGAGAAAAATGTTTAACTTCTCCAGAATGTTTAAGATAATGTAATGTACAGCCATATATACTGTATATCAAAAGAGTTTATACACTCCAACAAAACTCCTCATTATTGTTTGATTAGTACAAACCAGTGATGGTCATAGTATAAGTCCATAATATGTTGTCATAATCAATATGAATACCTTCATCACTGTACAACTGTTTCTGATATAATCATTACAGATTTGTCTTCAATAATAAACCTTTGGAACAATAAATAAATCATCCAATCATCTCTTATTACTGAATAGTTTATATAGTAAGCATTGTAATATTGTAATTGCTTTTGGTGTATCTAAAGAACACAAATAATTTTTTGAATAAAACCACATGAATTAAAAAACAAACTCTTAGTGTGATATAAAAAGCACAATATCGTCACCATAAGGAGAAACATCATAAATGTAATCTGTTGTTCTACCCCTTGAACTATTTACATACAGCTTCTGCTGAAGAACCACAAAGACAAATAAAAAAGTTGATAAAAAGAAGAATTCATTGATTAAACTGATTTACATACTTCATTAATCCTTTTTTCTTTTAGTTATAAAATAAATTAGGTTTCTAGAATACAAAACACACAAAATTACTTAAATATGTTATAAAAATTTTTAGGGATTTGTAATTTATTTCAACATTGAGTATGTTTGACTATGAACAATGTTAAGATATAAAATTAAAATATAATTATAGTTTTAGTGTTCATCTGTTATCATACTCCATGGATTTCACTTATCAATGAATTGAAATCATACTTCGAGAGAGGTTACCACTGAAGTGCAGCAGACTGTTTCACACCCTGTTTTCATGAAAGCATTAAAAATATGACTTTTTAAATACTGAACATTTAGTGTTAAAATATTCAAAGCTAATCATTATCTACGATGGGTTTTTTTTGTGGAACGTCTCTTTAGTGTCAGTGCAGCTGTTGAGTCAGATCAGTTCCTCTCCAGCTGAGGGAGGTTTTTGTACGACGTTGTATCACTGTGTGAACGGAAAGCTGGCACCCTGCTGACAGTAGTAAACTCCTGAATCTTCAGCCTGAACTCCACTGATGGTCAGAGTGTAGTCAGAACCTGATCCACTTCCACTGAAACGACTTGAAACTCCAGACTGACGGTTTGTAGCTGTATAAATCAGGAGATTAGGAACTTCTCCAGGTTTCTGAAGGTACCAGCTGAGGTAGCTACTAACACTTGAACTGGTTTTACATCTGATAGAGACAGTCTGTCCTGGAACAACAGACTGAGATCCAGGAGACTGAGTCAGGGTGATTTGTCCTGATGAACCTGAAAACATGAAACAGAGGAGAAGGGTTATTGAGACAAATCCAGCTTGGAGAAAGATGATCAACATCCAAACAGAAGAGTATCATTTCTTTAACATGGAGAATAGATGGAAGAAGGTAAATGCTGCTTGTTTCACTGTTTCTCCATCATAGCAGAACATCATTGTGGTGAACCTGGTTGCATCCTGAAGCAAAGTTTTCAGAAGAGAGTCTCACCCTGAACAAGGAGCCCCAGGGTGGCCAGCAGTAGAGTCAGTGACATCATCATTGTGCTGCCGGCGTGTCAGTGGCTCTGAAAGGCCTGGACAGCCACTGATCAACACTGGCCTCTTAAAGGCTGGGAGCAGAGAGGAAGGACACATATGCAAACACACAGAGTCAGTGAACTGTAGCTGTCCTCAACATATCATGCTGTTTCCTCCTCACTGCTGGGAGTACTGACTGTTTAAATCATCCTCATGCTGATTCACAGAAACTAAACATGCTGTATAATAATTTCATACTAATCTAAAACTAAATTAAACAGTTTATTTTTTATTTACTTAAATACAGAAAGAGAAAGACATGGTGCTCATACAGGTAACTGAAATTGAAAACTAAGCAACTAACTTCATTTTACAGAAAGTTACTTTCAACATTTTACTCATCACTGACAACATTGGACCAAACATTATTAAGGACATAAAAAAGTAAAATAGATCAAATGTGGATTATAAGAAACTATCAATTATATAACTGTTCAGACTTTACATGCTGCTATTGTTTGATACTGCAATCTATGGTCTATTTTAATCACTCTATATCTTTTCAAATTATGCAGAATCAGTTAACATGTATATCTCCAAGTGCTCCCAAAATCCAGACAGACATTCTTAGATATAAGATATCACATTTTCTGAATGGCGTCCAGATTGTGTGCATCCACAGTGAAATATCTTACTGTAGTAAGATGGAAAGTAGAATTTCATACTGTACGCACAACATTTACTACTACTAAAAATATCTGATCAAACATTTACACCACCATTCAATGTGCTCCCTCAACCACATATCACTCCTGTTGTCCAAAGCCTCCACTGTGTCATTGTCCCACAACAGATCCAATTTAAAGTCCTTCTCCTCACTCACAAAGCCCTCTATAACCAGGCCCCCTCCTACCTCACTGACCTGCTCCACTGCCGCACTCTGTCACAAAGCCTCCGCTCTTCTGATGCCAACCTCCTGTCTCCATCACCCAGGACCAAGCATCCAAACCAAGCCTACTCCATAGCTGCACCCCAACTCAATCCTCAAACACATCAGAGACTGTACCGATTCGTCCACATTAAAATCACTAATCAAAACCAGTCTTTTCAGAATTGCTTCAATGTGTGATTGTATTTTTTGGGGGGGTTGTTTCGTGATCTTTTTAACTTATGTGAAGTGTCTTTGCGTACATGAAAATATATATATGTATATATAAATAAAATGTAATATTATTATTATTATTGTTAGGAAGTTGTCATTATTGGAAGAACTTATAATCTCTGTACTAAATATCAAAAACAGTTCTCTGACAACCTTAATGTACTACATATCCAAACATTGCTTCATATAATCTATTCTGTCCCAAAAACTATCAGCATTGTTTGGTTACAAACATTTTTGATACTTGTAAAGATAGTTAAAGTAGTGCTTCAAAACCACCTTAGCTGTGTTAAAGTTCAAAAACCTTTGCAGACTACTTATGACAAAATACTGTCCTTCAGTTTGTTCAGGATCATAAAAACTGTCTGAGGTTTGTGGATCAGTGTCTGAAGAATGTCTGTTTAAAGTTCAGAGGTTGAAGTTAATGAAAGTCTCTTCTTTTGTGGACTACAGATGAAACTGCATTGATCTATGTCTGATCACATATTTTATGTTTTCAATATGTGAGTTTGTAATTTTATTCCAGCTTTATGATCTTGATCTCTCTCTTGGGTCAGTTTTTCCAGATGGAGGTCAGGGTGACGTTTGCAGGAGAACAGGGGAACCAGGCTTCATCTTAAAAAACCTACATACATTTTATTGATCCACCTGTTGGTTCTGTGGAAATTAACAGAGGTGATTTTGAAATTATGCCAAATATAAGGGCTGTTAGATATATTGTGCTGTTAACATGTCTGGGTTGCTTCAGTGAACTGTATCAGTCTCTGCAGTAGCTTCCAGCTGCAGCAGTCAGTTCAGTTTCTGTTCAGTCTGACTGAGGGAGGTTTTTGTACGACGCTTTTTCACTGTGTGAACACAGCTTGACTATTAACAGAGTGATGACTCTGACAATAGTAAACTCCTGTATCTTCAGCCTGGACTCCACTGATGGTCAGAGTGAAGTCAACTCCATTCCCTGCTCCACTTCCACTGAATCTGGAGGAGATTCCAGATTGTCTGTCTGATGTTCTGTAGATCAGAAGTTTAGGAGCTTCTCCAGTTTTCTGATGGTACCAGGCCAGGTAGTATTGTGAACCAGAGTACTGAGTAACTTGTCTACTGGCTTTACATTCAATAGTAACAGTTTGTCCCGGTTGGACTGATTTGGCTGCTGGCTGAGTCACAACAACATTCTGTCCAACAGACCCTGAGGAGAGAGAAGAAACAATGGACATGAGATGGTGAGGTGAAACTCAGCTACACTCCAAATGATTTTCACAGCACAGAAAACTGATTTTCCTCACCCTGAGTGAAGCAGAGGAGAGTCCAGATGAGGACGGAGATCAAAGTCATGTTTTTGATGAGGGAGGATTTCTGTGTCTTCTGTTGTCATGAAGGACAGCTGTCAGTCATCCAGTGTTCAACTCTCAGGACTATAAACTCTCCCAGAGCACTGGAGCATGGTGCTGCTGATGCAAAGTGGCTCTCTATGGAAATGCTCTGACTGACTCCAACAGGGACTTGGATTACTCTGATGATGCTGTTTCTCAATGGATCAATCACTTTATCAGAGTATTGATTAACAATGTATCAGTGATCATTTTAATGTGGAATGGGCTTGATGACTGCAGAATGATTTTCTGTCAGAACGTCTTCTGTCTGCTTTAATTTAATGCTAGAGAGATCAATGTTACTTTCAGACATATGGAACAATAAATATGTAAAAATGTGATCTTTTCTGAAGCTTTTTGTGTTTTTCAGTCCGTCTGTTTAACAATTCAACTGTGGTTAATTAGTTTTAGCTGATGATTGATATTCAAAGTCTATGTTAATGTTTTTATTTAAAATAGTCTAAAATAAAATCCCACCAAAGACATGTTTTAATGTTGATATTTATAATGTGCTTCTGTTATTTGCAGTGTAGTTTGATATATTTCAGGTCATATGAGGACTGTGTCTGTGCTGATGTGCATGAGAGGTTTCTTAAAGGGAAGTGAAACAATGTGTGAGTGAGTGACTGCTGGAGCAGAAAAACCATCTGACAGAAACTCCTTAAAGGAGACAAATCCAGCTTGGAGAAAGATGATCAACATCCAAACAGAAGAGTATCATTTCTTTAACATGGAGAATAGATGGAAGAAGGTAAATGCTGCTTGTTTCACTGTTTCTCCATCATAGCAGAACATCATTGTGGTGAACCTGGTTGCATCCTGAAGCAAAGTTTTCAGAAGAGAGTCTCACCCTGAACAAGGAGCCCCAGGGTGGCCAGCAGTAGAGTCAGTGACATTATCATTGTGCTGCCGGCGTGTCAGTGGCTCTGAAAGGCCTGGACAGCCACTGATCAACACTGGCCTCTTAAAGGCTGGGAGCAGAGAGGAAGGACACATATGCAAACACACAGAGTCAGTGAACTGTAGCTGTCCTCAACATATCATGCTGTTTCCTCCTCACTGCTGGGAGTACTGACTGTTTAAATCATCCTCATGCTGATTCACAGAAACTCACAATGCTGTATAATAATTTCATACTAATCTAAAACTAAATTAAACAGTTTATTTTTGATTTACTTAAATACAGAAAGAGAAAGACATGGTGCTCATACAGGTAACTGAAATTGAAAACTAAGCAACTAACTTCATTTTACAGAAAGTTACTTTCAACATTTTTACTCATCACTGACAACACTGGACCAAACATTATTAAGGTTATAAAAACGTAAAATAGATTAAATGTGGATCATAAGAAACTATCAATTATATAACTTAAGGATTTAAGAGTTGTCATTAGAAGTGTAAATTACAGTATGCTGTACATCTACATCTACTCCAGAAATATGTTGCTCTCTCTGTCACAGTGTTAAACTGGTTCAGTCCCTAACTGTCAGGAAGAGATGATGTAGTCTCACTTGGTTAACAGTCATCTGCTACTATCAACTATAATCCCACAAGGCTTCATCCTAGGTCCTCTTTTGTTCAGACTTTACATGCTGCTATTGTTTGATACTGCAATCTATGGTCTATTTAAATCACTCTATATCTTTTCAAAATATGCAGAATCAGTTAACATGTATATCTCCAAGTGCTCCCAAAATCCAGACAGACATTCTTAGATATTAGATATTACATTTTCTGAATGGTGTCCAGATTGTGTGCCTCCACAGTGAAATATCTTACTGTAGTAAGATGGAAAGTAGAATTCCATACTGTACGCACGACATTTACTACTACTAAAAATATCTGATCAAACATTTACACCACCATTCAATGTGCTCCCTCAACCACATATCACTCCTGTTGTCCAAAGCCTCCACTGTGTCATTGTCCCACAACAGATCCAATTTAAAGTCCTTCTCCTCACTCACAAAGCCCTCTATAACCAGGCCCCCTCCTACCTCACTGACCTGCTCCACTGCCGCACTCTGTCACAAAGCCTCCGCTCTTCTGATGCCAACCTCCTGTCTCCACCACCCAGGACCAAGCATCCAAACCAAGCCTTCTCCATAGCTGCACCCCAACTCCATCCTCAAACACATCAGAGACTGTACCGATTCATCCACATTAAAATCACTAATCAAAACCAGTCTTTTCAGAATTGCTTCAATGTGTGATTGTATTTTTTTGCTGGTTGTTTGATGATCTTTTTAACCTATGTATTTTAACTTATGTGAAGTGTCTTGGAGTACATGAAAATATATATATGTACTTATAAATAAAATGTAATATAATTATTATTATTGTTAGGAAGTTGTCATTATTGGAAGAACTTATAATCTCTGTACTAAATATCAAAAATCAGTTCTCTGACAACCTTAATGTACTACATATCCAAACATTGCTTCATATAATCTATTCTGTCCCAAAAACAATCAGCATTGTTTGGTTACAAACCTTTTAGATACTTGTAAAGATAGTTAAAGTAGTGCTTCAAAACCACCTTAGCTGTGTTAAAGTTCAAAAACCTTTGCAGACTACTTATGACAAAATACTGTCCTTCAGTTTGTTCAGGATCAGAAAAACTGTCTGAGGTTTGTGGATCAGTGTCTGAAGAATGTCTGTTAAAAGTTCAGAGGTTGAAATTAATGAACGTCTCTTCTTTTGTGGACTACAGATGAAACTGCATTGATCTATGTCTGATCACATATTTTATGTTTTCAATATGTGAGTTTGTAATTTTCTTCCAGCTTTATGATCTTGATCTCTCTCTTGGGTCAGTTTTTCCAGATGGAGGTCAGGGTGACGTTTGCAGGAGAACAGGGGAACCAGGCTTCATCTTAAAAAACCTACATACATTTTATTGATCCACCTGTTGGTTCTGTAGAAATTAACAGAGGTGATTTGGAAATTATGCCAAATATAAGGGTTCTTAGATATATTGTGCTGTTAATATGTCTGGGTTGCTTCAGTGAACTGTATCATTATCTGCAGTAGCTTCCAGCTGCAGCAGTCAGTTCAGTTTCTGTTCAGTCTGACTGAGGGAGGTTTTTGTACAACGCTTTTTCACTGTGTGAACACATACTGACTGTTGATATAATGATAACTCTGACAGACTGTTTCATTAATAATACAATAATGTGCTGAATTGTTAAAAGTTAAAATATATATTTTTTTATACAATCCTGAGTTTTCATTTCAGAGAAGCTTCTGGGTTTTTTTTGTTGCAGTACAGCTGTTGAGTTAGATCAGTTCCTCTCCACCTGAGGGAGGTTTTTGTATGACATTGTATCACTGTGTGAACGGGAAGCTGCCAGTCTGCTGACAGTAGTAAACTCCTGTATCTTCAGCCTGGACTCCACTGATGGTCAGAGTGAAGTCAATTCCATTCCCTGCTCCACTTCCACTGAATCTGGAGGAGATTCCAGATTGTCTGCTTGATGTCAGGTAGATCAGAAGTTTAGGAGCTTCTCCAGTTTTCTGATGGTACCAGGCCAGGTAGTATTGTGAACCAGAGTACTGAGTAACTTGTCTACTGGCTTTACATTCAATAGAAACAGTTTGTCCCGGTTGGACTGATTTGGCTGCTGGCTGAGTCACAACAACATTCTGTCCAACAGACCCTGAGGAGAGAGAAGAAACAATGGACATGAGATGGTGAGGTGAAACTCAGCTACACTCCAAATGATTTTCACAGCACAGAAAACTGATTTTCCTCACCCTGAGTGAAGCAGAGGAGAGTCCAGATGAGGACGGAGATCAAAGTCATGTTTTTGATGAGGAGGATTTCTGTGTCTTCTGTTGTCATGAAGGACAGCTGTCAGTCATCCAGTGTTCAACTCTCAGGACTATAAACTCTCCCAGAGCACTGGAGCATGGTGCTGCTGATGCAAAGTGGCTCTCTATGGAAATGCTCTGACTGACTCCAACAGGGACTTGGATTACTCTGATGATGCTGTTTCTCAATGGATCAATCACTTTATCAGAGTATTGATTAACAATGTATCAGTGATCATTTGGATGAGGCTTTAGTTTGAGTTTCATGGCCAAAGTTTCTCCTTCAATACTTTGTGAATTCCTCCTGATTCACTACGACACTAATAAACATCATTGTGGGAAACATTTAAACCAAATAGTCATTTTTTTATTATTCATAATCTCAATTAACATGTTAATTTGTGTGTCTATATATACACTTTTAACATCTCACAAACAAAAGGTTCAATACATATTCATAGTTTGTGAGTTGATTTTAAACACTTTAACTAGTTATTACATAAACTGGGTAAACTGGGAATGTGTTTGGTGAGTTTGTTTGTGTCAAAGTCAGAGAGCCGTGTCTCTCTACAGTGAGAGGTTTTTGTACGAAGACTCAATCAGTTTGTATCACTGTGGAGGACTTTTGGTGGAGAAACCAGACTGGAGGTTAACTGTAAGTACTGTTCACTTCTACAAGAACTCAAAATTAATTTAAAATCTATGTTTATTGAATGAATAGAAGTTTTACAATAATAATTTTGCTTATAATATGTTTAATTACATTGAAGTGACCATTACAGGCTTCATTTTAATATAGAACAAATTCTGTCTGATGAAAGAACTTTCTACTTGGCTTTAAAATGTTAAACATGATGCTTAATTAAAGTGTTAAAGTTTTTATTGTTCTTAAGATATACAGCCACTTATTGAAGACAACATTCTGATCAATGATTTCTCCTCTGACAAAGTTCTGTTTTCATACTTACAGAAAAGATTTATATTCAGCAATAAGAAACAACATGTAATGTAGGAACTACAACAGGGGTGTCCAAACTATGGCCCGTGGTCCGTTTTTAATTGATCCGCAGCAAATTCTAAAAAATATAATGAATATGGCCCACACATTGAACTTGCACTTAACTGTATTGTACTTCTTAGTTTTAACGCTAGGTGGAGCTACTGTCTTTAACACAGCAGCATCTCTACAAAACAGGATTAATCAAAGACCAGAATGACAGAAACAAAGAAACACAAGATAGCGAGTGAATGTAGAAAATTTCCGACATGGCGGGAAAATGAATATTTCTCCACATAAGCTAAGGGGAAATGTGTCTGTTTGATTGGTAATGAAACTGTTGAAGTGATGAAAGAGTACAATGTACAATGAAACCGAACATCAGACCTACACGTCCTATACTGGCGCCGAGCGAGGACAGAAAGTTAAACAAATGGCAGCTAGCCTGCTAGCTCAACTACAGTATTGTCCGTGCTAACAAAACACAGGAAAATGCCACAATAGCTAGCTACGAGGTAGCTCAGCTCATTGCCTGACACGGGAAGCCTTTCTCAGATGGTGACTTCATAAAACAGGGCCTCACTAACGTAATAATGTGAATTCAACAACGTTAGCCTGTCCAGAAACAGTTGTGCAGCGAATCGAAGACTTGTCAGCTAACATAAAACATCAACTGTCAGATAAAGCTTTTGATTTTTATTCCATTGCATGTGACGAGAGCACAGACGCCACAGACACAGCACAGCTGGTAATTTTTTGGTGCAGAGTTTGTCAAGGCTAGTTGACTGAACCCAGGAGCACACACAGACAAGATGGACGGTTTAAGGGTCTTTATTCCACACGCACACACACTGAGGGGGATGAGGGGCGGCCACGGCAGGAACAGGCAGGTGAAGGGGCAAGAGAGACCGGCGACACGGAGGCACTGGGGAGATGACTCTGGAAACAGAACTGCACAAGAGGATCCCTGGAGCTCAGGAGAGAAAGTGGTCAGACAGGAGAACAGGCACAGGAAAATCACAAGTTGACTGGAAATAGCAAGCTACACACTGGAAGGAGCCACAAAAGTACCACCAAGTTGGCTGAAACAATCTGGCGCTGAATGGGAGGAAGACCGGGGTTCTTGAAGGCTGAGGTTGATGAATTGATTGAGCGCAGGTGAGATAGCACACAGGTGAGGTGAATAGAGGCCGCACCCTCATCAAACACACACACAGGGAAGGAGGAGGAGCAAAGGGAGCAGGAGGGGAGCAGAGCCATGACAGAGTTGACGATATAACTTTTGCATTACGTAGGAGCTGCTTGATCTTAGGAGTCTAAAGGGCACAACAACGGGTAAAGACATTTTTGAAGCTGTGTCAGATGAATTGACAAGATGGGACTAACATGGAACAAGCTGTGTGGAGTTACAACGGATGGGGCTCCAGCAATGACAGGCGAGCACAAAGGAATGGCCTCGATGGTGTGCGCCAAGGTGCAAGAGAGTGGAGGCGAGGCTGTTGAAATGCACTGAGAGTCTGCAATCAGAACTTATCGAAATGCAGTGTGATGATTCTCTGAAGAATCAACATCAGCTTCTCTTCTTACCCAAATTCTACCGTAGCTTGGAAAGGGCCAAGTTTCCTCTGATGAGACGCCACGTAAAACGAATGATGTGTCTGTTCGGCTCAACATACATATGTGAGCAGGCATTATCTCTGTTAACTCTGAACAAAAGCAAACTGAGAACCAAAATGACTGACAGCCATCTCTATGATGTCCTCCGCATCTCAAGCCTGGCAGCCTGGTGTTCAGAGAATAACCTTGCTCTGAACACCAAGAAAACCAGAGAGATCATCGTCGACTTCAGGAAGCACAGCACCGACCCAGCCCCCCTCTACATCAACGGCGAGTGTGTGGAGAGGGTCCACACCTTCAGGTTTCTCGGCATCCTCATCTCCGCCGACATCTCCTGGACAGAGAATATCACGGCAGTCTGCAAGAAGGCTCAGCAGCGGCTACTCTTCCTGAGGGTCCTCAGGAAGTACAACCTAAACTCCAACCTGCTGCTGACCTTTTACCGCTCATCCAGCGAGAGCCTGCTGACATACTGTATCACAGTATGGTACAGCAGCTGCACCGTTGCAGACAGGGAGAGGCTCCAGAGAGTTGTAAAGGCAGCACAGAAGATCATTGGCTGCCCTCTCCCCTCCCTGATGGACATTTACACCGCCCGCTGCCTCAACAGAGCTAAAACCATCACCAAAGACAGCTCCCAGCCTGGCTTTGACCTGTTTGAACTGTTGCCCTCAGGGAGGCGCTAGAGGTGCCTTAGGACTAGAACAAGTAGATTCAAGAACAGCTTCTTCCCAAAAGCAATAACCACCCTGAACTCTCACATGCACTGCTCTTAGTTCAACCACCCCAACCCCCGGACTCTCTTCAGTCACTATTAAACACTGTTAATTACTGTGCAATACCATTCAATGTGCAAAATTCCACACCATAATGGGCAATATATATATATAATATATAATGTGCAATATATATATATATATATATATATATATATATATATATATATATATGTCTTACACTGTATATAGCACCATATTTATTTGCAAATGTACACACTCCTCAGGCCTGCACACCCTACCTCCCTTTGTTTGTTGTAATTATCACTTCATGTCCTGTGTTTATATTGTATATACTTTGATAATTGTACTGTTTTTTTGCAATGCCATTGGAGTTGACTATTTAATCTCATCGTACATGTGTACAGTGACAATAAAGGCATTCTATTCTATTCTATTCTATTTAACCACCAAACTTACTCCTGACCTGCCACTGCTCCCACTGAGTGCAACACTGTTCCCATCATAGGTGAGTTAAAAATATAATACACAGTATTCATGTTTTAACAAGCCCAATAACTGATTTGCATGACAAGCTTGAAATGTACTCATTCCCCTTTTCCCCTTATTATCCTGTATATAGGTGGAAACTCTTTATACAGGGCTGTGAAGGGGGATCACCATCCTGACTAAGAACCAATCTGAGACTGCTGTTTTGAGAATGAACTGAATTAAAACCCATTAATAGAAAGATGTGAGTGATGTAGACTGTTACAGTTATCAAGCATTATTTATCTACATTTGATTGATTTTGCCAACTTTAATACTCTATAGGTGAGGCGATATACCTCACTATAATGAGTAGGCCAGCCTTTCGTATATATTGTTTTATATTTATATAGTATGTGTCCCTCAGTGAAAAAAGTTTGAACACCCCTGAACTACGATGTCTGCTTTCACACTTCTGAAACGTAATCTGTCAACACATACACAGTGCAGGTGAGTCAGGGGTCAGGGTTTATAATTGATCACAATGAATAATAATCATAAGATATTTATACATGGGCCTATAACAATATTAAAGTGTTTTATAAACCATTTATTAATTCTGTATGTATTCTGTGTTCGGATGGGGGTTGTTTGAAGTTTGATTGTACACTGTGTGTGTGTGTGTGTGTGTGTATGTGTGTGTGTGTGTGTCCTCAGTGAACTGTATCAGTCTCTGCAGTAGCTTCCAGCTGCAGCAGTCAGTTCAGTTTCTGTTCAGTCTGACTGAGGGAGGTTTTTGTACGAGGCTTTTTCACTGTGTGAACACAAACTGACTGTTGACGAAGTGTTGACCCTTACAGTAGTAAATTGCTGCATCTTCAGCCTGGACTCCACTGATGGTCAGAGTGAAGTCAGTCTGTGATCCACTGCCTGAAAAGCGACTTGGAGTCCCTGTTGCTCGCTGATCAGCCAAGTAAATCAGCAGTTTAGGAGTTTCGACACCTTTCTGTTGGTACCAGGCTAGAACATCTTTTGTTTTATTTCTGGCAACAGTTACCCTCTGACTGTGTTTGCAGCTGATGGAGACGGAGCCTCCCACAGCAGAGCTCACTGCTCCAGGCTGAGTCACTGTGACCTGGCCTCTGGACTCTGAGGATACAGAGACAAAAACATAAAGCAGCGTCATGGTTCTGTGGGCTTCATTTCAGAGGGACGGATGTTCATAGAGGAGAGGAGTTTGATTCTCTGGACTTTACCTGTGAAGCAGCAGCAGAGGAGAGTCCAGATGAGGACGGAGATCAAAGTCATGTTTTTGATGAGGAGGATTTCTGTGTCTTCTGTTGTCATGAAGGACAGCTGTCAGTCATCCAGTGTTCAACTCTCAGGACTATAAACTCTCCCAGAGCACTGGAGCATGGTGCTGCTGATGCAAAGTGGCTCTCTATGGAAATGCTCTGACTGACTCCAACAGGGACTTGGATTACTCTGATGATGCTGTTTCTCAATGGATCAATCACTTTATCAGGGTATTGATTAACAATGTATCAGTGATCATTTGGATGAGGCTTTATTTGGAGTTTCATGGCCAAAGTTTCTCCTTCAATACTTTGTGAATTCCTCCTGATTTACTGCGACACTAATAAATATCATTGGGGGAAACATTTAAACCAAATTGTCATTTTTTATTATTCATAATTTCAATTAACGTGTTAATTTGTGTGACTATTTATGTTAAATTATTTATATAATATAGTGTAGATTATTGATTTCAGCATTGGTATTGTGTGCCTTTTAATGAAAGAGAAATGAATATTGCTTGTACACTTTTAACATCTCACAAACAAAAGGTTCAATAAATATTCATAGTTTGTGAGTTCATTTTAAACACTTTAACTAGTTATTACATAAACTGGGTAAACTGGGAATGTGTTGGGTGAGTTTGTTTGTGTCAAAGTCAGAGAGCCGTGTCTCTCTACAGTGAGAGGTTTTTGTACAACGACTCAATCAGTTTGTATCACTGTGGTTGACTTTTGGTGGAGGAACCAGCCTGGAGGTTAACTGTAAGTACTGTTCACTTCTATAAGAACTCAAAATTAATTTAAAATGTATGTTTATTGAATAAATAGAAGTTTTACAATAATAATTTTGCTTTTAATATTTTTAATTACATTGAAGTGACCATTACAGGATTCATTGTAATACAGAACAAATTCAGTCTGATGAAAGAACTTTCTACTTGGCTTTAAAATGTTAAACATGACGTTTATTTAAAGCCAAGTTTTTATTGTTCTAAAGATATACAGCCACTTATTGAAGACAACATTCTGTTCAATGATTTCTCCTCTGACAAAGTTCTGTTTTCATACTTATTCAGTTTACATATTATTGACTATTTAAATGAAATAATTTTGTGTGAGTGTATTATCTGGAAACAATTTTTTACTCAATCTTCCTCCCAGACTGATGAATGTAATGATATGTAACATCCTCACTATAACCAATGAATATCATAATGTCACTACAGCTTCTTCAACCACATGCTGTATTGGTAAAATTCATATTATGAGTTGGAAAAAGGATTTCAGCATTTAAACAGTTTGTCAGCAGTGAAGTCTGTCTGTTGTCATGGTTCAGTAGTGATGCTGCGTAAATGAAGACAGCAAACACACACTGTCTCTTATGAGTTTTGGATTGAGCTGAAAAATAGAAGAATAATGTCTTTTAAACTTTTAATAACATGTAATGATTGTTTATGTTTGTTAATTTAACCAAAGAAAGAGTTTCTGCTCTCAACTGTTTAGTAGTTTTAACTTTTTTAGTTGCAGTAAAAGAGTGCCAGTTTTAATGTTTTATCTTTAGTACTGAAACCTGTCTGTTGCCATGGTTCAGCAGTGATGCCTGTCTGTTGCCATGGTTACTGGATTCAGAGAGGGAAGTGAAACACTGAAGACCAGTTTCATCCAATCTGAGGAAGACCAACAGAAGCAGCAGCCTCCTCTGCTGCAACCAACAGGGTGGAGTTTATTTTCTCTCTGTATGAACTTTCTTCATATTGTCTCTCTGTCTCCTCCTCCAGTGGGTCGAGTCGTCCCCACCCTGACGGTGCTGCCCCCCTCCAGTGAGGAGCTGCAGCAGGGGATGGCCACGCTCATGTGCCTGGCCAACAAGGGCTTCCCCTCAGACTGGAGTCTGTCCTGGAAGGTGGACGGCAGCAGCAGCAGCAGCAGCAGCTGGGAGCAGAGCAGGAGCCCCGGGGTGCTGAAGGACGGCCACTACAGCTGGAGCAGCACCCTGAGGCTCTCTGCAGACCAGTGGAGGAAGGTGGGCTCTGTGACCTGTGAGGCCACCCAGGGCTCCCAGACTCCGCTCTCAGAGACACTGAGGAGAGACCAGTGTTCCCAGTCCTGACCTGACTCACTGGGACTCTGCTACTGGTTTTACTCTGCTACTGCTCTCACTGTGCACTCTGTAACTATCTCTCTCTTTCATTTGACATGTTTCAGTCAGAATATTTACTAGCTTGTTGCAGTGTTTCAATATTATTTCA